CAAACAAAACAAAATAAAAAAACAAACAAATAAACAAAACAAATAACCCAAACAAACAAACAACCCCCAAACATCATTCAGGGGGGGCAAGCTTCGATTCTGCCAACCCGGGCTGAGAGGGATATATGATATATCTATAACGTCCAAGCAGCAAGGCCGAGCTATTATAGTGCGGTAAAAAATTCGATGTGCAACGGATCCTCTTAATGTCTCTTAAACGGGTAAATCACCGTCACTCATACTTTGCACAGCAGTTTGTATCAATTTGACTTAGCTTAATAATATTTTCCCACAACAATTGAGGCTAGATTTAACTCTTCTTCATAGATGTCTAAATTTATTTTTAAAAATACTAGAAATCTCTGTCACGCGGAAAATGGGATTGTTCACAGCACTTCTCGCTTCTTGCGCACATTTTGTTTACGCCTACGTCACAGCTCACCAATGGCACTTTTTAGTGGCAAAACTTATTTATTCTAGAAATTAATTTTATAGTGAACACATTTTTTGCATTACTAAATGTTCTCAAAACATGCGTTCAATAAACATAAAGTGACGGTTAAAAAACAATGACAGACTTGCTGTTAAAAGCGACATTGCCCGAGTTGTGAACTTTTTAAGAGCTGTAGAAACCATCGACTTCAATTTTTTTTGCTATTTATTTAGTAATTTTCTAGAATACAGTGTACAAGTGTTTGAAAAAAATATTCATCAGTTAAGACAGATTGATATACGTCATAATGCCAACGTTGGAGAATCTATGTTCAATAGTTAAGGGGATATTTGACAATAAGTTACGCCCTGAATTTTTGACACACTACAGATAAAAATACTCCCCAGACTGGCGTCGAACGCAACTCTTCTGCATGCCACAGCGAAGCACCTAACCACTACACCACAGGCGCCAGTAAAAAGTTATTAACGTAAAACAAGCAAACAGACAAATATTACAGCAAGCAGTTGAAACAAAAGAAACGAAGGCAGAAAGCTGAACGCAGCGTTCACAGCAGAAATAAAGAGAGAGAGAGAGAGAGAGAGAG